CGTGACCCCGGGACACACTGCGGCCGTCGTAAATAGGAGTCAGTTGCCAAGGGTCTGCATTTTGATTGCGTAACCATGGGGGTTCCTCCAATGGTCATAAGTGTGAAAAGCAGTCATAATAAGTCACTTTGTTTCCACTGTTGTCGTAAGTCAAGGACAGCCTATCTGCCTGGCTAGAGTAAAAGAGACATTTCTTTTCCGATGTTAGCATCAAAAATCTGGTTCAAGGTGGCCTTTTCATCAGTAACAGGTGTAATGAACCCGCTGCAGCTTGGCTGTTTTTATTTACTTCTCTGATTAATGAGGATTTAATTGGCCCCCCGAGTAATTTCAGGCACCTACAAAACAGCATCGTAACCTTTGCACAAAGACGGAAGGTAGCCTCGGGATGAACACATGTTGGCTTCTTCCTGTCTGTGTGAGAGATTGGCCGCCTGCGCTCATTCTCCATGACATCCCCCCCCAAATGGAAATGAAGACATCTAAAGCAGGGGTCGCCGACCTTTTGGACCTCAGGGACCCCCCAAACTCATCATTTTAAATCCCACGGACCAGAGACCCTGGGAAAATCCCCCAAAAAGTCTGTAGGAAAATCCCCCATCCTGTTTTCCTACCGATCGATCGTTCTTTATTTGGGATCGCAGGATACCGTCTCCAGCTCCGTTCTCAAGGGGAAAGAGAGAGAGAAAGGGAGAGACTTTTGGCTTCATGCAAGGAAAGCAGCAGAAGCCGCAGAAGTCTTTCTTTCTCTCCCCCAAACTCCGCCAGAAACGAGTCTTTGCCGGCCAGCCTCTTGGAGCAGGAGGCCCTGCAGGGTCCCAAAGACTCATTTCTGGTGGAGTTTGGGGGAGAGAAAGAAAGACTTCTGCTGCTTTCCTTATGTGCAGCCAAAAGCAGAAGAAGAAAGAAGCGGAAAGAAGCAGCCTAGTGGTCAGGCCAGGCGCGGGGGGCGAGTGGGGCAAGTTCCCCCCCCGCCCTTTACCCCCTCCCCTCACTACCTTGTGGTGTTCACAATGCAAGCAACACAAGCCTTGTGTTCCCGCGGGCCATGTGGGCGGCGCAGCCTTGTGTTCCTGCACAGCCTGGATTAATTGCTTTGGGGGGGTGGGGGCATTTCTCTGCGGACCACCCAAATTTGAGCCAGTCACTCTCTCTCAGATCAACCTGCTTCACAGGGTTGTTGTAGGGAAAAGAGGAGGAGGAATGAGTATTACATATATTTGCCACCTCAAGTTATTTGTAAAAATAATGAAGGTGGGGTACAAAAATAAAATAAGAATAAAACAAAATAAAATAAAATATCAAAGGGGGGGAGGAAGGAAGGAAGGAAAGGAAGGAAGGAAGGAAAGGAAGGAAAGGAAAGGAAAGGAAAGGAAAGGAAAGGAAAGGAAAGGAAAGGAAAGGAAAGGAAGGGAAGGGAAGGGAAGGGAAAGGAAAGGAAAAGGAAGGAAGGGAAGGAAGGAAGGAAGGAAAGGAAGGAAGGAAGGA